GTGGTGTGCCAGCAGAGTAGGTTGCCAGCAAAGTGGGGTGCCAGCAGAGTAGGGTGCCAGCAGAGTGGGGTGCCAGCAGAGTAGGGTGCCAGCAGAGTGGGGTGCCAGCAGAGTGGGGTGCCTGCACAGCAGGGTTGCGAATCTCTCACAATCCCCCTTTTACGCCTACAATTATTATTGCCACGGTCTGTGGCGTCTCGTGAGAGGAGATGTTCAAACCTGAAATGCAGAATTATTTTTAACAAACTATTTGGGATCTACCATGAAAAAGTCCAAGTTTTCCTGTCTAGCAAATTGTTGAATTGAAATGTATGTGAACAATGTTGATTTCGATGAAATGATTGGTTTGCATATTTAAAGTCCAGGAAAGTTAAGTTTTCACAGTCAAGTTTAATGTTTAAATAAAAAGTAATTTTGTTGCATTTTTTAAACGCTGTTACCACAAGTTCTATATTTTCTTCTTATGGTTTTAGTTGCTTTAGAACTTAATTGACAAAGAATCCTGCTGGTGGTGCTGTGTGATCCGGTTAAAGAACTACTCGGTTGACCGCACAACATGACGCCAACCCTGGCGACGCTTCTGACTTCAGAGTCAAATAATAAATTCGGATTTTGCAGTCCAGGTTTAAGAGAAGTTATTGCCATAAATCTAGTTACCTTAAAATTTAAAGAAAAATGTGAAAACTTGGTTATCCTCAATGAAGCTTTACCATCGTGTTCAACAGATTGTGATACACTATTTACAAGACGTCCGATCTAGTAGCACCACGATACGGTGCTACCAGATGATACGATGATAGATCACAGCACTGAATTCCGAGAAAGAAAACACTGGTGCAATATGGGTCAATAGATTTTGGGCAGTGCGTGACAATTTTTCAGACCTGGTAGCACGTTAAGTGGTAGCGTGGCAGTAGAGCACAGTGTTATACTGTCAAAGATTTCAGTTTGTAGAAAAAGGGGGTGGGGTGGGGTTTGCGACATACAAGTTAGCTATTGGAAGATAAAGCCGTTTATCTAACTCGATGCTTCTCAAAATTTTGTTCATGGAACCGACACTAAAGTTGTATTCTCAGTGCTGCTGTTTAGGCCCATTTGACGCAACCAATTGAGAGTGTGCAACCCTATGACGCTGATAAACACACAATTGAGAGTGTGCAACCCTATGACGCTGATAAACACACCATACAATTCACAAGAGCAACGCAAGCTTATAGATTGAATCACAAGTGACGGGACAGATTCCATTTTAAGCGATTCAAAAAAAAACAAAAAAAAAAAAAACAACAAATTGAGTCAGAGATATAGCAGATT